TTCCTGAAAGGCTATGGTTTACACCTGCTTTTCTGGTGTTCAATGACTATTTTATCAATCTGACTTCCACCGCGAGAAATGTAAAAGCATACGTGGGTTTTCCAACCTGCAGAATTTCTTTAGAATCTCTACGTCAAAGAGACCATTTCACTTGTATTTAAAACAAAGGCAAGTCTCCTTGCAAACTAGGGAAAATATGTATACACATGGCCTCTGTTTTCCAAAGCACAAGCCCAATGAGATCTAGTTTTCAGTGGGACCAAAATGCATTTACATAATCAGAAGAGGAAAAATCTTATAAAATATGCTTAACAAATGGGGTGGTGCCAGTGTCTTCCCACAGACTTGGGTGAAGAACAGAGATTCAAGGAGCCTTTGCAGCATCCACTCTGTGCACTAATGGACAGACATTCTGTAAAGAGAGCCAGAGGACAGACAGAAAGGGAGACAGGAGTGGCAACACAGAGAAGCAGGGAGAGACGGAAGTCAAAACAGAGACTCAGAAGACCGGTGAAAGGGAGGGACACAAAAAAGAGAAAGAGAAAGCAAATCGAGGGAGATCCAAGGGAAGACAAAAACAGAGAAAGAGGTGGGAGAGAAAGAAAAAGTGAGAGCGAGAGAGGAAGAGAGGAAGGGAAAGAAGAAAGAAAGACAGAAGAGACATTGATTCCCCCCTCCTTGAAAAAGATATGCATCAGTACAAACACATGTAGATGCAGCCACAGGACAAACAAGAAAACACAGTCACAGATTAAAGACAAACAGACAAAGCCCAATCATGTCCCTGGGCTTCGACACTGTGGCAACCGGTCCAAGAAGGTTCCATCAAGGTTTTGAATGAATGTGGAATGAAGATGGAGAGGAAGAGACACAGAAGGGGACAGAGAGGGGATAGCACAGAGCTCACACTTGGGGCCTGCTGTTTTCTCACCATGGACTCTGTACGCATTGGAAACACTGCTGTAAGTCAGCCAAGAGCACATAGGAGCATGAGACTTCTAGTTTCAGCAATGGCTCCAAAACATTAAGGGCTCATCAGGGACATGACGTCTTCTAGACCACTGGGGGCCAGGCCAGCCCTGGGAAGAGGCTGGATGCATCATAAAAATCTTCTCTGAGATAACACAGTTTATTGCAGCCCTGACTGACTCCGTGGGGCAGGAGAAAGCAGGATACACAGGGAGTCGGGGCACTTGGCCTCTGGTCTGGGCCTCGTAGCTACCTGGAACGGCAGTATAAGCAAGAGTCTGTCTTTCTCCGGGCTTCAGCCTGCCCAGTTAGAAAGGGAGTGTGGGGTGCTAATTGAACCAGATCACTTGTTTCATTCTTTTTAGTAAAAGAATTATTTTTTTCTAACGAACTCATGGGCAAAACTCCAATATATAAAACTGATTACAATTAAATACGGAATTTTTCTGGCCCAAGTTAATAGAGAGCTCAATAGAGCAAAGGCAGATCTATTGAGCACCAAGGAACCAAGGACCACAAATTGTCAAATGCAGGGGCAGGGTAGGGGGGTTGAAAGGGAGCCCACCTTTCATGTTTCTATACAATTTGTTCTGTAGAACCCAGATGTTTCCTGCAGAGAGGCCCCCTTAGATAGCTTACCCCGTGTCACCTGCAGTCCTGAGTGAGAGGGGCCCTGGCCATGGATGTACAGATCTGCAGGCCCACGTGTCACATGGACACTCTGTCATCGAGAGCTGGGACCGGGCACTGCCACACTGTGAAACAGCCACTCCCCACACTAACACTGCTCAGGCTCTACGAAAAGGCTTCCTCTTTCTTTCCGTCCTTGAATCAAAGGGCCATATGGTACAAGTGCTGCCAATATCAGAGACAGCCATGCTCCTGAGAGTGGAGAGCACTGAGGGGCGGAAATGCTCAGATACCGGCAGATACACGGTAATCTGACCAAGCGCTCTACTCAGATAGCCCTGGATGCAATTTTCCTGTGTAGGAAAGTTGCTTTTCAGTTCTGCTGCGGGTCCATTTTTTGCTTCTTTTTCAACTTTGAATCCATAAGTTCAAAAGTATTTACAAATGAACACAAAACTCCCTGTAGCTAAGAAACTGTGGGCATATAGTGAAATTGTATTATACTGTGAATTTCTCATTTCCTACTGATTAATGATGTGAAACATATTTCCGTGTGGTTATTGGCCATTCATTTATCTTCATTCATGGAGTGTCTGTTCAAATCTTTTCCCTGGTTTTTCTTGGATTATTTGTCTTTATTATTGATCGGACTAGTTCTCTACATGTTTTTGATACTAGTCTGTGTAAAATAGATCTATTACAAATCCTTTATTCTAGCCTATGGCTTCAGTTTTCTCTTTTCCTATTCCTTTACTGTGAAGAGCAGAATTTTGATGAAGCAAAATGTATCCTTTTGTGATTTATGATCTTGTGTCCTGTTCTCAAGATCACAATTTTTTCTACAATTTCAATTTTCACAGATCTATGGTCAGTTGCTAGTGGGTTTTTTTAAATGTTTTATTTATTTCTGAGAGAGAGAAAGAGAGAGAGACAGCGTGAGCAGGGGAGTGTCAGAGAGAGAAGGAGACACAGAATCTGAAACAGGCTCCAGGCTCTGAGCTAGCTGTCAGCACAGAGCCCGATGCGGGGCTCGAACCCACAAACTGTGAGATCATGACCTGAGCCGAAGTCAGATGCTTAACCAAATGAGCCACCCAGGCACCCTGCTAGTGAGTTTTTGTATGTGGTGTGAGGTAAGAGTCAAGGTTTGCATTTTTCTGAGTGGATATCCAATTCTAGCACCGTTTCTTGTACACGCTACTTTTTCCCATTGGATTACCTTGGCACCCTGGTCAAAAAGCAACTGGCCCTGTGTCTGTAGGTCTCTTTCTGGTCTCTTCTATGTTACATTAATCTATATGAGTATCTTTACACCAATACCACTCCGTTTTGATTATTGTCATTTTACAATAAATCTTGATATAAAGTTATATAACTCCTTCCACTTCTTTTTCAAAACTGTTGTGGCTATGTTATGTCCTTTGCATTTCCTAAATCTTGGAATCATCTTGCCAATTTCTACAAAAAGCCTTCTGGAATTTTTATTGGCACTTTATTGCATTTGCAGATCAATTTGGGAGAGAATAAACACCTTAAAAATATTGAGTTTCTGATTCTTGAGCATCAAGAGTATCATCCTATATCACACTTCTAATTAGATCTTAATTTTGCTCACCAGTTTTTTATAGTTTTCACATATCTTAATAAACTCGCCCTATTTCATGTTTATTGATACTATTTTAAATTACATTGTTTAAAATTACATTTTCCAGGGTACCTGGGTGGCTCGATCAATTAAGTGTCCGACTTCATCTGGGGTCATGATCTCACGGTCTATGAGTTCAAGCCCCACGTCAGGCTGTGTGCTGACAGCTCAGAACCTGAAGACTGCTTTGGATTCTCTGTCTCTCCCTCTCTCTCTGCTCCTCCCCCATGCTCTGTCCCTCGAAAATGAATAAATGTTAAAAAAAAAAGTTTCATTTTCCAATTGTGTCTTGCTCTATGTGAAGTATAACTGATTTGGGTATATTGAACTTGTATTAATTACCTTGCTAAATTCATTTCGTTCTAGTAGCTTTTTTGTATTTCCTTCGAATTCTCCACACATATGATTATTTCATCTGCAAATAAAGACAGGTTTCCTTCTACTTTTCCCATATAAATGCCTTCCCCCCACCTTTGCCTTTTGACTGTCCAGGACGTCTATTATAATATTGAATAGAACTGATGAGAATAAGCATTGTTGTCTGTGGGGGGAAAGTATTCATTCTTAACATCAAGTATGAGGTCAGTTATAGGTTTTATTGTAAATGATCTCTATCACATTAGGAAAGGTCCCTTATATTCCTAGTTTGCCGAGAAATTTTATCTTAAATGACTGTTGAATATTGTCGAATGCTTTTTCTGTGTCTATTGAGACCATGGTGCTGTTTTCCCCTTTATTCTGTTCATGTCATGTATTCCACTGACTGAATTTCAGATGTTAAACCAAACTTGTTACTGGAATAAACACAGGATGTTGCTGGACATGATTTGCCAACTTTTTACATCTATGTTCTAGAGAAATCCTATCTTAGATTCTCTTTTCTTATAATAGCCATGTCTGGTTTTAGTATCAGAATAATATTAGGCTCATAAAATGGGTTGGAAAGTATTCCCTTTTCCTCTAAAAAAAAAAAGTATGTAAAATTGGTATTATTTTTCTTAAATGGTTGGTAGAACTCACCAATGAAGCCAACCGGGCACTAAGATGTTTTGTTTTGTGGGAACAATTATTTTTAACTTTTTATTTTGAGATAATTTTAGACTTATTTAATGATTGCAGAAAATAGTCCAGAAAGTTCTGTAGATCCTTCACCCAGCATCTCCTAAGGTTAACAGCTCATGTAACCATGGTACAATTATCAAAAATGTATTTTAAGATTATTTATTTTGAGAGAGAGAGAGAGCATGTGTGCATGCATGTGAGCGGGGGATGGGCAGAGGGAGAGCAGGCTCCATCCGTCAGCTATGTCAGCACAGAGCCTGACACTGGACTCAAAGTCACAAATCGTGAGATCATGACCTAAGCCCAAATCAAGAGTCAGTTGCTTAATGGATTGAGCCACTCAGGCCCTCCTCAAAAACTTTTAAAAAATAACACTGGCATCATACTATTAATTATGTGGACTCACCAGTATTTTTCACTAATATCCTTTTTACATTCCAGAATCAACTATAAACTGCCGAATCGCATTTAACTGTCATGCCTCCTTAGTCTCATCCCATCTGTGACAGACCCTCAGCCTCTCCTTGCCTTTCACTAATCATGATGTTATGAGTGTGATTGTTTACCCCCCAGAACACCTATGTTGGAACCCTAACTCCCAATGGGATGGAATTATGAGGTGAGGCTTCTGACAGGTAATTAGGTGGCGAGGGTGGGGCCAGCATGATGAAATCAGTGTGCTTATAGAAAGATACCAGAGAGCTTCCCTCCTCCCTCTCCCCACCGCCACATGAGGATACATAGAGAAGACGGCCTTCTGCAAACCAGGAAGCAACCTGTCACCAGACATCGGATTTGCTCGGGCATTGATCTTGGACTTCTCAGCCTCCAGAACAGTGAGGATTGAGTGTGTGCTGTTTCAGCTACAAAACAGTCTATGGTAATTTGTCATAGCAGTCTGAGCTGACTAAGACAGATGACCTTGAGACCTTAAAAAAGTACTAGCCAATTATTTTATAGAAAGGTCCTCAGTTTGGGTTTGCATAAATTGTTTCATAATTAAATTGAAGTTATGTGCTATTGGGAAGAATAATTCAGGTGCCCTTATTGGTATATCGTTTCAGGGGGTATATGAGAGTATACCTTACAGGATACCTTACAGGATACCATTATTTCTTGGTTAAGGTGGGGATATCCATGCTTCTCTGTGATAAAGTTTTCTCTTTTTTTCCTTTACAAATTTTATTTTGAGAGAGAGAGAGAGCAAGTGAGTGGGGGAAATGAGCAGCAGGGCAGGGGAGGGGAGAGAATTTCAAGCAGTCTCCATGCTCAGCACGGAGCCCAGTGGGGGCTCAATCCCACAACCCTGGGATCATGACCTGAGCCAAAATCAAGAGTCAGATGTTAACCAACAGGGCCACCCAGGTGCCCCTCTATTTTATCTTTAAATTAATAAATATTTATTTGGGGAGAGATATCTTGAGGCTCTACCTCCTTAAACTTTGTAAGTTTAATAAAACTAATCTAAAATAGTTCATATAGCCCACAAGAATTATTATTATTATTCTCTTTACAGAATGTCTTTTTCTTTTTTTGTTTTTAAGATTTTCTCTTTATCTCTGGATCCCTGGGTTTTAGCAATTTGATTATAATGTCTCAGTGGTGTGTTGTGTGTGTGTGTGTGTGTGTGTGTCCTGCTTGGAAATCGTTGCGTTTCTTGAATCTGTGAGTTTATACTTTTTATCATATCTGGAACACTTTTCAGGCATTATTTCTTCGAATATCTTTTTCCTACCCCTTTTCTGGGACTTCAATTACACTGGTAATTTGTTTTGTCTCCGGGTCACTGAGATTCTGTGCTTCCCTTTAAGTACTTTTTTCTCTCCTTACTTTAGTTTGGATAGTGTTATAGACTGCACTTTGGCCCCTCATACGGTAAAGCTCTAACCCCCAATGTGATTGTATTTGGAGATGGGGCCTTCAGGGAGATAATTAACGTTAAACGAAGTCATAAGGTGGGGTCCTAGTCCAGTGAGATTTGTCTTCTTAGGAGAAGAGGAAGAGATGCCAGAGATCTCTGTGTGTATGTGCAGGAACACAGAGAAGGGAGAATGTGAGGTCACAATGGGACTTCAGCCATCTACAAGCCAGGGTGAGAGGTCTCACCTGAAACCAAGCCTGAAGGCATCTTGGGCTTCAGCCTCCAGAACTGTGACAAAATAAACTCCTGTCATTTTAGCTACCCAGTCTTTGTTACGGTGGCCTGAGTAAACCAATGCAGACAGTTTATTGCTTCAAAATATTATCTTCTGTAAGGTCTACTCTGTGTTAATCCCATTAGGTGTGACATTTTTTTATTTAAAATTATATTTTTTTTATCTATAGAGGTTCTCTTTCACAGTTTTTTTCATACCTTTCATTTCAATATTTATTGTACCCATGTTTCTCTTTAAAGACCTGAACGTATTTACAGTTATTATAAAGTTCTTATCTGTTCATTCCATCATCTATCATTTCTGGGTACATTTCTATTGGCTTTCTCTCTTTTTTTTAATCTCAATTTCCTGCTTATTTACATGCCTAATTAGATGTTCAGCATTGTTGTGTGCTGGGTTTTGTTGTCTTCCTCCGAAGAGTGTTAGACTTTTTTCTGGCAGGCACCTAAGTGACTTGTGAATCTGCTTCATCCTTTCAAGAATGTTGCAAGCTTTATAGAGTAGCCTTTAGTGAGGGCTAGTTTAAGTAATTCTAATAAGGGGTGACCCTTCTAGTGTTGGCCAGAAGCTTGGGTGTTCAGTGAGATCTCTCTACTCTGGTTACAGACGTCTCTGAGTGCTACAAGCTTTGGAAATAGTTCTACTTACTGCCTCTCTAGTCATCCTTCTCTTGACTTTCTAGAGACTCCCCCTATGCACGCACAGCTCAATATTCAGCAACAGACTCAAGAGGGTATACTGATATATGGAGCTTTTTCTCTGCATAGTTTCCTCCTCTCTGATATTCTGCTCTGCAAATTCCAGCAAAGTCCACCTCCCTGAACTCTGATTTCTGACTCCTTGACTCTGTGAGACTGCCATGATCTTCCTGGCATGCTCATCCCTATTCCACAGCCCCAAAAGTGCCTCCAGGCAGAAAGCAAAATGATCATTGGTCTCCTATCATTTGTTTCCCTTCTCCAGCCTCTTTTTCAAATATTTTGTCCATTTTTATGACACTGCTATCAAAAGAAAGCACAAGTAGCTACATGAATTTCAGACAGAGCAGACTTCAAAGCAAGGAAAGTTATCACAGACCAAAAAGGGCATTATATAATGATAAAGGGGCCAATGCCCCCCAAAAGACCTAACAACATAATTGCTAATTTTACAGAAATGGAGGCAAGAAAGATTCATTTAATGGAATAATGACATTAAAATTTGTGAATTACATATGTCTTAGTTTTTTCACTCGTCCAGACATGGGCTCACCAACAGAACGCTCAGATATATTCAATAATAATTAAATCCAGTAATCCTTTATACTTTGCCAGCTTTCACTCATTTTAAAACTACATTTTAAATGTAGTTTTAGGAGCGCCTGGGCAGTTCAGTCGGTTGAGCATCTGGCTCTTGATTTTAGCTCAGATCATGGTCTCCCAGTTTGTGGGACGGAGCCCCGCATCAGTGTCTGCACTGACAGCACAGAGCCTGCTTGAGGTTCCCTCTCTCCCCCTTTCTCTGCCCCTCCCCTTCTCTCTCTCTCTCTGTCTCTCCCTCAAAATAGATAAAATAATTTAAAAAATAACTAAATGTAGTTTTAAGACTACATATAAAAACTACAATTTAACATTTTTTAAAAACTGTATCACAACATGTAATACTTTATTTTGTTGACTGATGAGTTCTAAATATTTAGACCTGTGGTATGCAGGTTTCGTTTCAACTCAAGCTCCAGACCCTGCAAGTGTCCAGGATGGGCCTGCACTTGCCACTAGATATTCTTCTGCCTCCAGGCTCAATAGCCCCACAAAGTCTCTGCTCTGCCAGGATCCACTCTCTCTACCTGCGACAGACCCTGACTCCCCAGCCTGCTTCTGCAAGAGCGTGGCCTCCCTCATGGTCCCAGAGGAATCCTAGCCCCATCATCCCTTGCTAATGGTGCTGGGATTCAGATTCATCCCCTTGATCCCGCCGTGGATATCAGCTCCTCCAGAACCAGCTTACCCTCCTGGACTGCTTGCGCCAGTGCTACAACTGCCATTACCGTCACCGGTGAAGTTGATGTTCAAGTTCCCGCAGGTGCGTGCATTGCCTCTCCATGACCAAGGGCAGCTTACTATTCTCTAAGCCCCTGTATCAGTTTCCTGCAGCTGCTGTAACAAATCACTGCAAACTTGATGGTGTGCAAACAAAGAGATGTATTTCCTCACAGTTCTGGAGGCCAGAAATCTGAAATCATTGTCATTGGACCAAGATCAAGGTGTAAGCTGGACCATGTTCCCTCCAGAGGCTCTAGGGGGAAATGTGTTCCTTGCCTCTTCCAGCTTCTCGTGGCTGTTGGTATTCCTTGACACGTGGCTGCGTCACTCCAATCTCTGCCTCCTCAACACATTGCCACCTCCTTTCTCACGTGTCCTCAGGTCTCCCTCCACCTGCCTCTTACATGTTATTGAATTTAAGGCCCACCCAGATAATCCAGGAGAAGCTCCCCATCTCACAGCCTTCACTTAATCACAGCTGCAAAAAATTCTTTCCAAATAAGATAACATCTCCAGGTTCCAGGAATTAGGACCTACTATCTTTGGGGGCCATCCTTCAGCCCACTGAACCCCCATCCTCATTCCCACCACCATCAATATTGTCTCAGCCCTCTTTCCCCAACTCGAAGTCCGGAGCCAAAACCTTCCAGACCCAGTTCAAAGTTTCGCTCGCGTTCTGTCCCGGAATTAACAATTCCCAGAATGACTAACAATGAAACCAATTATTCTCTTCAAAAGAAAACCCTACCCTGCCCACCAGAATATGGCCTCGTCTTTAGTTCCAAAAACAAAATAACAAAATAACTTAATTTTGTACCACCAAACCTTGGGAAACAAATGAGTCTTATCCGTGTATACTTTGCTCTGAATTCTTTGTTCTTACTCTACATTACCAAAACCACTTGGACCTTTAAAAATTTTCTTGCTCCCATGAATGCCCTCACATATCACTCCCTAAAGGTCCTTTGCAGCCTGGCATGAGGCTGACATGACTGCCCGTCTTCCCCACCCCCTCATGGGCCCTTGATGTGTTAGACACTAAAGAGATGCTTATTAACAAAAATGGGAATCACACAGATAGAAGAGCCTCGGGACATGCAAGATGGAAATCCCTTTTTTTAAAGCCATATTCTGCCATATCTGATGTCGTAATAATCACACTTAGGAGCAACAGTGTAGATGGAAGGAAGCAGAGCTGGACTGTAATCCCAGCCGTCTCACTAACTAAGGAAGGAGCCAGAGAGGCACCACTTCTCCCACCCCCTCCCCCACCCAGGCCTGCTTTGGCTCGCTGGTCAAGTTGGGATACAAACACAGATCACTTAGTACTCTTAGGGGATTGACAGTCAGCAAGTAGATGAAGGGACTACGTGCAATATAAAGAGCTGTGCAAACTGTAGCCATTTTCCTCACTGATAACTCTGTAGAATGGGTATTACTATCACCATAAGATTGGGGATATTTTTATATAAATGATTTTCTTTTATTTTAAAATAAAAGAGGCTAGGGGCACCTGGGTGGCTCAGCCAGTTGAGCGTCTTGTCTCTTGATATCGATTCAGGTCATGATCCCAGGGTCGTGGGATGGAACCCCCTGGAGAGCTCCACGCTGAGCATGGAATCTGCTTAGGATTGTCTCTCTCTCTCTCCCTCTCTCTCTCCCTCTGCCCCTCTACGGTGCTCATGCTCTCTCCCTCTCTCTCTCAGATAGATAGATAGATAGATAGATAGATAGATAGATAGATAGATACACATATACAAATTAAAAATTAAGAGTAAACTAAAAGAGGCTAGTGACATGCTCCCCAAATCACACCCTACTAGGAAAATTACATTTCAGTTATCTGGCAGGTAGAAGAAGGCATACTTTTTCCCTTCATTACAGAAAGATTCTGCTATGTCTAATCCTCTGAGTGTAACCCAAATGCTACACACATTCGAACTCTCTCCCACATAGGAAAACACAGGCTATGAACGAGGACCTAAAAGGACACACATTTTTTAAATCTGTCTTCCCTTCACAGATCTTTTTTGGCCTGCATCCCGATTGCCACATATTCCCTCCAAAAATATGTATGTGATGATATAAGAATAGTAGTATAAAAAATAACAATAGTAATTATTACTATGTTAACAATGACTATCATTTATTGAACAGTTTACTTTGTGCTGAGAACTATGATCTACAGACCTCAGGGGACAGGACAGAAGAAAGAGATATGGCTTCACTACATTGTTTTGAAGCTAATGACTACATTCTAGGCTTAGTCACGACTTTTGGGAGTCATGACTTCATAACAGCTCAGGAAATAAACTACGTGTAGCAACTCTAGAAAATAAAGATTCTAGGTATCTGTACTCATCACTAAGTACACAGATAGATTTTTCAGGATGGAGCTGTGGTCAGAGGGCAAAGGTTTATAGATGACAGCTCCCTCACCTAAACAGAAAGGAGAGAGAAGTTTCTATGGGAGAATTTAAAACACAAAGTCCCCTGCTTTCAGCCTAGTGGGTGAGATACCTCATGCTCACTCTCTTTTCCCCGACTTGGTAAATGAAGCATTATTGTAATTAACACATTGTAAGGAAATCCTCACTCTACCGAACTGAGATTTGAAATACTAGAAAACTAAGTTAAATAATTTATAGACTGTCAGTCCTTATTTTATTTTTTCCAGTCTGATGTTATTAATTTGCTTAAAGACTCTGTGGCATGTTTTATGCAAAGAAAACCCTCACCCTGGCTATTGCTTGCATTCTATTTAGGATGCTTCCCAGCTATTGGTCGAGAGGGTTAGGCAGATGATTGTTTATTTGTTTGTTTGTTTTTAATGATCTCCAGCATTTGCAGAACCTCTTAACGTTTACAAATCATTGTTCCCAATCAGGCTCTCAGCTCAACTTCGTGTAACAGACAAGGACAATGAAATTCAGGGAGGTCACGGGACTTGTCCAAAGTTGCACACTTAGTAAGAACTGGAGGCGCGACTCCAACCTTTCCGCCCGCCAAAGCTCTTATGACTAAACAGCAAATCATCTTACGAAGACCTGCTGGACTCAATGGGGGTGTTTTCAGTGACAATAGTCTAAGGAGTCACCAGAATAATGAGCGTTATAAAGCACAGACATCGCCAAAAGAAACAAGAGGCACAGGACCCTTCTGGGCTTTGAAGCCCTTCCACACCAGTTCAAATCCAGCCCCGCCTTTAGTAACAGTCACACCGCTTGCACGTGTGTGATTCTTGTCTGCTTCATCCTCTCTGCCTCACTCGGATATTAGTGTCACAAGAACAGATGCTGGCCATTCTTATTCATCGTTGAATTCTCGGCACTCCGCCCAGAGCCTGGCACGTAGCAGATGTTCACCAATATCTCTTGAATGTGCTTCTCCATCAGAGTAAGCCACTGCTTCCCTCTGGGCTCCACTTAGTCATTCGCAGAATGGCATAAGCCTGTTTAAGGTCTAGGAAGGCTTAAGGTGGAAGGAAGGAAGGAAGGAAGGAAGGAAGGAAGGAAGGAAGGAAGGAAGGAAGGGAGGGAGGGAGGGAGGGAGGGAGGGAGGAATGTTAACTTCCCAGCAAAGGGCAGTTCCCCCGCCTGCCTTCCTTGGTGGCTCGCCATCACACAGGTCCAGTCCTGGGATGGAATTCTCTGGAAGGCAGACAATGATACACATGGGAGTGGACGTTTGGGTGGTACTGCTGTTTCTGAGCTGCGGAAACACAGTATGACACAGAGATGAAAAATGGCATTGCTCTGAAGACCTAAAACCAACATCTCTCATTTTTAATGTTCTGCCAACGAAAATCTCAGCCTCTTTAAAGGACTGGGTGTTCCAATCATATTGCCCCACTTAGCATTTGTGTTTTTTAAAGGAATAAACATTTCTGTTTGCCGAGCAAAAGCAAAAGGAGATTCAGTAAATATACAACCCGCTTGATGAACACAATTCACGCAAAGCCCCAAGCTGATTGCCCAAGATAGATTTGTCACAGATAAAAACCACAGCGTTCAGATCCTCCCTGACTGGGCTCCCCTCTATCTGTCCAATGTGAAGAGGCAACAGATTGGAATGGAAGAGAGGCACACAACCTCAGGGACTGTCCCCTCTCCAGAAGTCAGCCTTCCTCAGAGAAATGAACCAATAAGATCTATGTGGGGAAAGCAAGAGATCTCTTTTAAGGCCTTGCCCTCTGAAATCTGCAGGGCAGGTGGGCAGGCTAGAAATTCAGCTAACAGTTGATACTGCCGCTGAGTCTAAAGGCATTCTGGAGGCAGAATTCATTCTTTCATAGAGGACCTCTGTCCTTTTTCATCTGGCCTTCAACTGATCACACAAGGCCCACCCTATCATGGAAGAGTAGTCTGCTTTACTCAAAGCTGACTCATGTAAATGTCAATCGCATCTGAAAAATACCTTTATTCCATCTAGACTGACGGTAGACCAAACAACTGTGCATGCAGCCTAGCTGGGTGGACACATCAAATGAACCTTCATGCTCCTCAAGCCTCGATTTCCTCATCCACACCCAACATCCATGCGAAGTACTTAGAAAAGCACCTGGCTTATAGCAGGGATGAGACAAATGCCATGCTAAGGAACCATCCAGTTCGATAAACATCAGTGGGGCCTCTGCTATGTGCCAGGTGCTGTTCCAGACCCTGGGGATGCAGAGATAATACAGGACCTTGCCCTTGGGGAGGTTACCATCTAGGGAGGGAAACAGAGATGGCGGCTACCTACTATGGATGACATGGGCATCCAGACGTCCAGAGGAGGTGGACCCACCACAGCTGGGAGGGACAGGGAAGGCCCCTTGGAGAAGGTGACATCTGAATTGAATCTATGAGATTGGAAAAGATATAGCAGCATCCAGAAGAGTAGAAAAGGCAGCCCAGGTGCAATAAGAACATGGCCAGAGGCTTAGAACCCTGAAATGGCATGGCGTGCATGAGAACGGGAGATACAAGGGTGAGCTTGGGGGGGGGGGGGGGGGGGGGGGGGGGGGGGGGGGCGGAGAGGAAGCTGGAAATGAAGGTGAAGCCAGGTCATGAGGAGCCTTGGCACTTCACGAAGTCACGTTAGTGGCCCTATGGCTGCCATAACAAACGAATACAACTCAGCAGCTAGAGAGAACAGAAATGCATTCCCTCACACTTCTGGGGGCCAGAAGTCTGAAATCAAGGTGTCAGCAGGCCCGGCCCCTTCTGGAAGCTCTGAGGGAGAATGGGTTCCGTGCCTCTCTCCCAGGAAGGAATCACTCCTACCCCCGCTTCACCATCACATGGCGCTCTCCCTGTGCGTGTGTCTGTGTCCAAATTTCCCTCTCATAAGGACACCAGTCATGGCATTAGGCACCCTCCCCCCAGCATGACCTCATTTTAATGTGATCACATATCCGCAAAGACCCTCTTTCCAAAGAAGGTCACATTCACAGGGACTAGGGGTTAGGACTCAGGCATACCTTTGGGGGACCCACCATTCGATCCATAATGAGAGAGATGGTCAGAGTTTTAGTTAGGAAGGTCTTCCGGGCTCTGATGGAAAGGGGGGATGAGACTAGAGGTCCGTTCTTATGGTTCTGTCGCTTTGGTCACCAGGAAGCTCAGAGTAAAAACGGCAACAGATGCACTGATGCATGGGTTTTTTCGGGGGGGGGGGGGCACATGTACAGAGCATTACAGTTGTATTTCATTTATAAGCGGTATTTCTAACTGCCTCTTATTTTTTTTAATCCTTCTATATCAGTCAGAGTCCTAACAGGAAACAGATGGAGCGCTCAAATTAGGGTAATTCAAGAAGGGTTTATTTACAGTGGGACACCAGCAGGGGCATGGGCTGGAGGCGGGGGGAGAACACAGTGACCAGAGACTAGTTAGTCACAATGGAGTTTGTCACCCTTGGCTCCCAGGGGATGGAGCAGTCACCTGTCTAGAAAGAGAGTGTGTTGCTGAGGTCACTTTGAGAAGTGAGACCTCCCCTGTGGAAGGGACACGGCCCCGCTCATATCCTCGCCTCCCTCTCCCTCTGACCTCCTGACGGTGACCCCGTGGCCAAACCCAACACGGATCGAGAGGCAGTCCACACAGGTCAGCATCCCAGGGCAGACAGCAGGGTTGGGAAGGGTGAGGAGAGGGTCCGAGGGGCTGAGCAGAAGCAAATTTTATTTCCCCTTCATCCTGGCTGCCTCATTTATTTTTCATACGCCTTATGTGCAGGGCAGCTCTCCCAAACCCTTCCTTTTTTTAGGATACAAAGGGCAATGACTGTGAAAAGAAAACATGAAATAGAGACACCTCTCCTGTCCCCTTCACCAAGGGGCTCTGCATCCGGAGCAGTTTGCAGACCGTGTGTCACCCTGCACAGTCACAGAACGCTGACCCACCCCCAGAATCAGAGGCCTCCGCGTACGTTCTTCTGGCCGCTCGTTAAGTTACGTAAACTCCCGGCAGGCTCCCCATCTCCAGGGCTTTCCGAGGACATACTTGAGGCAAGAGTCATCCCGGCACGGAGCGCCTGTGACAGATGTTGCAGACTGCCACGCGGACACGTCCCAGATGGAGCGCTGGAGGGGGCGGAGTGAGCCCTGGGGAGTCCACGGGTCCGTCGTCTCACAGGGAGAACACACCAGATCATTCTGTGCGCCTGCTGAGAAGCTCATCTCTCCTCTCCGAGCCCCAGCATACTTCAGAGTATGCAGATACAGCCACAGGTGTCAGAACCGGAGGGGACCCTGGAGACCACGTGGGGCAAGCCCTATGTAATACAGACGCCCAGACGAAAGGCCAGAGAGGGTAACGGTGTGTCGGCTAGGGTTTGTTGAGTGTCTGTGATCTTCCAGCTAGTGCACTCCGTGCTGTGGCCCTTCATTCATACTGCTACTCATCAGAAATGGCCGCGTACCTGTTCCGTGCAGGGCACCATGCCAAACGATGGAGAGCCGCACAACAGGCTGGCGGTACCCTGTCTTCATAGGGTCTACAGGATGACAGTCTTTCTACCACTATTGCCAATCCTTCCCCCTACCCCCCTTCCATGCAAGGTACGGGCAGGTCGTGGAGAGCAAAGTGATCCAAGCAAACATGGCTCCCTTTTAAGAACTGAAATAATAAAGGAAAGAAGGTTGCCCTGTGCAAGTTAATTATGAACAACTCATAGAGCATCACAGAGATGTGGCCAGTCACAGAAGGAGGTAGAAGTCTCCTGGATTAAGACCTGCCCACATTACTGTTTTCTCTTAAGGAAAAGGTTGTGTCCACATGCAGGGCTTGGGGTCAGGCATGGAGGCAGAGAAAATGGATGAGGAAGCTTTGTTTAGGAAAAGGTCAGCAGGGCACGCCTCAGCCCTGCTACAGGCTTTCTCTCCGTTTTTAATGGAATGAAACAGGAACAAAAGCCTGTTTTCCTCAATCTCTGGGAAAATTGAATTTTTCTCTTCAAATCAGTCTTCTGACAACCAATTGACTCCAACAACTGAATGAGATTGGACTCCGCATTGGGCCGGCCCACGTCTTTGACCCACATTGTCTTATGATGCAGGCTCCGTTTAGAAGGGTCGCCCCCAGAGATATCACGTGTTGTGCAGGAGGGAAGTATAAGGACTCCTGGTAGGGAAGGACAGCACCCTGGTGTCAGACAAGCCTACCGTGAGCCCTGGCTTCACCAGTGAAAACTAGAACTTCTGGAACAAGCCTCTTATCTGTTAGGAGTCTCAGTTCTGTCATCTATATAATGGGAATGATGATACTCCTTACCATAAGTCTGTGTTGCTGGTAGCACTGGATATAATGATTAAAAGTCTTTAAATGCCTTCCATATAGTAAGTACTCAATAATTGTTATTATCAGTATTATTATATACAGTAAGTACTCAGTCGTTGTTAGTGTTAACAGATAGCCACTTAACACTGCTCACTGGTTCATAGTAGAAAAGCTATGAAGTAGAAAAGCCATAATGTTGCTGGATAACATTGTTTTAAGTCAACTTTCTTTTAAGTTTCTTTTCTGATGAAAATGAAAAACATAAAATACAAAAAAGAATGAAGAGAATAAAATGTTTAAATCCAGAATCCCACAATCCACATATAACCACTGTGAACACACTGGCATATTTCAATTTGTTTTCTGTGTTTGTGTGTGTGTGCGTGTGTGTGCACATGCATGTGTAGAGGGAGAAAGACAAACTATACATAAATGAAATCATGCTTTACATAGATGACCATTGTCCACAGAAAATAATTCTATGATATTCTATCTATATACACACCATAATTTACCAAACCGTTCCCTTATTGTTAGGCTTTGCAATTTTTCCCAATATTTTTGCTCTTGTCATTCATGCTATAATGAAATTCTTTGTGTAGAAACCTTTTCCACACCTCTTCTAATTTCCTTAAAAGAAGATTCCCTTGGCAGAATTTTTGACTTAAAGGATATATACTTCTTTAAGTCCCTGATATACTTTGTCAAGTTAATTTCCAATAGGGCTACACTAAACCACCCCGCCTTCCGCAGAATGTGAACACCCACATTTAAAATTCTTCACGTCGTAGGTGAAAGCATTGTTCTGTGTTCACTGCCTTGATTACGTACTAGTAAGGTTGTTGGCTATTGTTGGTCCTTTTTCTAGGAACTACGTTCACACCTTCGACCCCCTTTTTCTGCTATTTTGTTGATTTTCTTACCACTATGTATAAGGTCTTTATATCATAAAGATAGTTTTGAAAGTCATGGCAGTGGCAAATAAATTTCTGAGTCTGTTGTTTGCCTTTCAACGTTTAATATTTTGACATAGAAGTTTTAAATTTTATGTAGTTAGAAATGTTAATATAACTTACAACCAAATCTGCTCTTCTCTATACAACCAACTCCAGATCCACACTCTTTTTTAAAAAAAAATTTTTTTAATGTTTTATTGATTTCTGAGAGAGAGACAGCATGAGCAGGGGAGGGTCAGAGAGAGAGGGAGACACAGAATCTGAAACAGGCTCCAGGCTCTGAGCTAGCTGTCAGCACAGAGCCCGACATGGGGCTCGAACCCACGAACTGTGAGATCATGACCTGAGCCCAAGTCGGACACTTAACCGACTGAGCCACCCAGGCTCCCCTCCAGATCCACAATCTTGAACCTCACAACATTCAAGAAAACTCAGTAGTTGGGGTGCCTGCGTGGCTCAGTAGGTTAAGCGTCTAACTTGAGCTCAGGTCATGATCTTGATGTTCCTGAGTTTGAGCCCCACGTCAGGCTCTATGCTGATAGCTCAGGGCCTGGAGCCTGTTTCAGATTCTGTGTCTCCACCCCCCCACACACACACAGCCATCCTTACCCTGCACATGCTGTCTCTCTCTCTCCCTCTCTCAAAAATAAACATTAAAAAATGTTTTTTAAAAAAAGAAAAGAAAACTCAGTAGTAGCTTCTATACTTAAACCAATAGTAGACAGCATAGTATTCCAGTATATTGACAATTTGCTGAAGCTGGTTTGGTGGGTACACAGAGGTTTCTCACACTATTTTCTCTTTTTGTGCATGTTTTTAAATTTCCCATAATAAAAGTCTAGGGCACTATTTTGTAGTCTTCCCTCTTCAGGCACACAAGGCCTTATCTGATTTCTGCTCTATTCCCTTTCAATCATGGACATAAATTCCTAATTTGCGAACTTGCACACATTTTGAAATTACACTGCACGAGGTAAGCCTTGGCTACCTCCTGTGCTAAAAACAAAGAAGTAAAAGCATACCAAGCTTGTGGGACTGTTGAAAGGAAGAAATAATACATACCTAGTATATAATATGGGTGCCTGGCGCTCAATAGGTGCTCAATAAATGTTTTCCTTCACTACTACCTCTCCTCCTCCTCCTCCTCTTCCAATTTCTATACATCAGACTTTCTTGCTGCAAGAATCAAAAGCTGATCCTGGCTAATCTTAAGTAGAAGCGCAGTTTATTTCAAAGATACTGGAAGATAGAGAGCAAGGTCATGGGGACCTCAGACCGATGCCGGGAAGCCTGGAGTCAGTCAGGAGGAAACTGCCGGGGCAACCGCAGCCCTGCTGAGGACAAGTGGCGATGGTCGCCCAGCAGTCACTCTGCACGGCACCGCATCTGCATCAGAGTCAGGGGTCCGGCCACTGCACACCTGTCAGCCCCGTGCTTCCGGTGGGCTCTGCTTCCTCAAGCTGCTCCTTTAAGTGGATTTGAGGAATCAGGCCCATAGGGGCTGAAATTCTCCAACCAGAAAGTCAGGAAAAGCTGAAAACCAGGCAGAAAATGTAACCACATCCTGTGCCGTCTCCTGCTTAACTGCCAACAATGATCACGGAACAGGACTCTAACAACAAAGAGGCTCTCCCTTCCTGGGGGTGTGCTCACCTGCTGTGTCAAGGAGTTAGCCCAAAAGATTCTTCCGCGCTGTGCTGGGCAAGCAGTCCAGGGCCTCGGGGTGATGCTTATTCCTCTCCTGGCTCTATTCCTATTCTCTTAATGCTAGAGCCTGGGGACGAAACTGTAAGAGCCACTGCCACCACTGCACGCAAGCAACACAAGGGAACGGGGGAAGGAAAGGGAGATTTGTTCTAATACAAGGCGCTAACATATCATGACGCTCTTGGTAGGGAGAGAGACGTAAATATTACGTTCATTCTGCTCAGAAATCTTGACTTCTTGAAGTGGCCCAAGCCAAATAGCAAATCCTCTCCCCTGAGGGATCTGAGCCACTGGTGGTCTGACCAGGATGGAGACTTCGTGGTCTTTCTTTTTCTTCTAACTCTTAAACATTAAAAAAAAGAAAATC